TGTATCTTTATTGTCCCTTGTTGCTCGTTTACCTTGGCTTGTTGTGTATCTTTATTGCCCCACCAAAACCTCTGAGTATTTTCCGCATTTTGTTTATCGACCACCTAGCTCGAAAGCCGTAATCATGATGGATTATGACATTTGTCTGACCTATCACAGATCGTTCGAACTAGCGATCACCCAGCTCGATCCTTAATCATGGTAGGTTTCGCCACTTGCCCACCCATCGCGACCACCCAACTCGAAAGTCTTAATCATGGTGGGTTTCGACACTTGCCCAAGCCATCGTGACTACCCAGCTCGAAAGTCTTAATCATGGTGGTTTCAACACTTGCCCAACCCATCGCGGGTCATTCAAACAAGGGACCATCCAGCTCAAAAGTCTTAACCATGGTGGGTTCGGCACTTGCCCAACCCATCGCGGGTCTTTCAAACAAGCGTCTACCCAGCTCGAAAGCCTTAATCATGGTGGGGTTCCGACACTTGCCCAACCCATTGCAGGTCATTCAAACAAGCGACCACCCAACTCGAAAGTCTTAATCGTGGTGGGTTTTGGCACTTCCCCAACCCATCGGAGGTCGTTCAACCAAACGACCACCTAGCTCGCCGGAAGACGGGCTCGCACAGAAGGCTGCCGGAGACTGTCAGGACCAAATATTTTGGGCGTCGATCTGTGAAAAATCCGATTCCGACTAGCTGTTGACAGGTCAACGGCCGTCGGTCGGTGGTCAACGACCGGTCAAGTTAGTTAATTATTATTTAAATAATTTTAATAATTATTTTTATTATTTAATTGATTAATATGAGTCATTGAGCAAGACAAAATAAATGGTTAAAATTGAGTCTTACGTTTAAGATGTAGTATTCACTGGATCTAGCCCTAAATAAATATATTTACAATAGTCCCGCTCACCTGCCCACGGTGAGCAGTGCCCACCACTTTATTTTATATGAAAAACGTATTCTGAGAATATGTTTTTCAATTAAATTAATTGAAAAATATATTCTCAAAATACGCTTTTCATATAAAACAAAGTGGTGAGCACTGCCCACCGTGAGCAGGGGATCAAAATTTATATTTACAAACCGTTACATTTAAGTAAGAAAGAAAATTATTGGTCAAACCGACTTAAAAACAGTATGAAGTTGAATTAATCGAGTGTTCAAACATGTGGGCTTCACGTCTGTGTGACTTACCGTTGAAAGTTGAAACTATTTTACGGAGGGGGAAAAAAATGATGAGAGATGCATCATCACGTGATTATTGTTTACTTGCAGTTGAAGGGTCCTAAGATTATTTAAATCACACAAATCTCGGGCTTCAGGTTGATAATTTTATACTCTCTCCGTTTCATACTATTTGTGAGTAATTAATTTTTTTTTCTATAATAACTTTAGAAATACTCCCCTATCTACGGTAGGCACATGTTCATATACCCACTGCATAGGTGACATCCATTCATTATTGATGTTAATATGTTTAAAAAAATACATCACCAATGAGTGCATGCCACCTACGCGGTGGGCATATTAACATGTGCCCACCGTGGGTAGGTGAGTATTTCTCATAATAACCTTATTTAATACAGTAATGCTCCTATACTCACGGTGGGCACATGTGAATTTGCCCACCGCTTATGTGGCATGCACAAATTGGTAATATTAATATATTAAAAATATATTAACATCACTAATGTGTGCATATTAACATGTACCCACCGTGAGTAGAAGAACATTACTCTGCTTAATAAACATAGAGATGGATGTTTTGGGAAAATGATGAAGAGTGAATATAAAAAGAAGTATTGTATTTATTAGTTAAATGAAAATAATAATAAAAAAATATATACAAAAGAACCAAAATATCATTTATTTCAATTAATTATTGATAAAGTCAGAAAGACATTTAAAAGAAAAATGGAGAAAGTATTTTTTTAGCCAATCACGGTATCGGAGTTTGTCCCGACTAATTCGTTAGTTGATCCAAATCGCACACATGGCTGTGGTGGGTGAGTGTACGTTAGAGAAAGTATTTAATTGTCTCCAAAATCCGAATAATTTAATGCTAATTATTAATATGTTAATTAGGTTTATCTCCAACTTTCCACCAGTGCTACTACCGTGTGCCTTGGCACACCTGGCAGTTTAAAATGAACATGTTTCATTACAAAATGAACATGTGTAAACATATTTACACATGTTCATTTTATAATGAAACATGTTCATTTCAAAAAAACTTTGGCACACCTAATTATTTGCGACTTTCCACCTTAAAATAGAAGGCGGTGGAAGCCCTCGAATGAAATGATATCAAGTGTTGTCAGGCTGTCATTTCATCATCTAATTTGCGCGGTGGCTTTTACAACTTTCACATGTTGTCCTTTTATGATCACACAAATCAAATCGCTCTTAAGATTCTTAATAACCAAACACCATTATCATGACTAGACACGACAGACAGACACATCTTAATTGCAAATCTAGTTAATAAACTTTTTATTATTTTTTAATCATATAATATGAAAATTAGTTTATAGTAGAACACCCGTATAATAGGTGTTGTTAATTAATTAGAAAAATTATACATATCGAGTTTTTTTTTAAAAAAAAAAAATTAAATAAATTAAAGCTATATTTAAATTTTAAATACTTCTATATTTTTATTTAAAAGGGTTTATGTATAAGTTTGTTGTATTAATTGGTACTAACTAGGAATCATAAATAAATAGTTTTATAAGATGAAGTTTTTTAGTCAATATATGCCACGTGAATGTCAAATTGAATATTTTAATAAAAAATTAATACAAAAAAAAAAATGTGTATATCTTTTGAATTACTCAAGTATTTTATAATTTTCAAAGTCTTAACCTAAAAACCAAAATATACATGTATTATCCCAAAAGCAAAAAAAATAATATATAAGATTACAAAATATGTAAGTTTGACAAGATATAGAATATGAAGTACCACATGTAGATAAGGCGTAAACTAGGTTGAAGCTTAATTTTTTTATTTTTTCGTAACGTGTTATATAAATTTATGAGAAATTATAAAATTATTTAACCTTGTTTTAAATTTAATTTAATTTAAATTAAACAATAAACTATATATGTAAATATGATTTTAATCTTTTCATAGGATTTTATTGTCGTTACAGCTTAACTTGTAGAAATCGATCTAGAGAGCTCAGATATTTTGGGAACAATTTTATTTCATTCAGTAAAACTTGAAATGAACGAGTTGCAGGGAAGACCTTATAAAGGGTCCCATGCACCGTACATACATGCAGCAATAAAACGACATCGTTTTGTTCCAAAGGTAAAATCGTTCAGAACTAATAAACTCGCAACACGTTTTTAACCAAGAGGAAAAAGAAAAGAAAAATAGGAAACTGAAATAACAGAAAATAAGAACCATGCAAAATAGACTGCGGCTTCAAGTCTTCACTCTCATGGCAGTGAATGCACAATTCCAACAGCCCCCCCTCAAGTTGGGCATGCCGGGAAGAGAACCATGCCCAACTTGGATACAAGAAGCCGGAATTGTGAACCAGTAAGAACCTTAGTAAAAAGGTCTGCCAGCTGAAATTTAGAGGAGATATGCTGAGGATGAACAAACCCAGATTTGAATTTATCTCTCACAAAGTGACAGTCGATCTCGAGGTGCTTCGTACGTTCATGAAAAATCGGATTAGATGTGATATGCAAGGCAGCTCGGTTGTCACACCAAAGAGGGATAGGATACTCCAACTGCACATGAAACTCTTGCACAACATAGGAAATCCAGAGGAGTTCAGA